CTCAGCAGAGCTCATGTACACAGTGGAGCTGGCAGGCGGGCTGGGAGCAATCCTGCTGCTCCTCATCTTTCTCATCTCCCTCTACAAATGCTACAAGATTGAGCTGATGCTTTTCTACAGGAGGCACTTTGGCAGCGAGGATGTTGATGGAGGTAAGGTCAACCCAGTGCATCTAAAACCTAAAGGCATAAATGGGGTTTACATAAATGCATATCACCCACCCCCTTTTCTTGCTGCAGCATTGGAATGATTTTATGTTGAGAAATGACAGAGTTGTAATTTGTTATTTATGTTAAACCTTTAAATCAGCATACACAGTCTCCTTATTACAAATTGGCCCACTCAGACCAACTACTGTGAATGGCTCTTGGCTTTCTTTCGGCTGCTCCCTTCTGCGGGGGTCACCATAGTAAAGGTTGAATGAATGAATGAATGAATAATGAATAGTGAGTGTTTCACACCAGATGTCCTTCCTTACACAACCTGTGCTCAAACCTGCAGCCACAGTTACAAGACTGGAGCACTGACCACCTAGCTACTCGGACCCAGAGCCAGAGGGCAGGCCGGCTAGGCCGGGCCCTCTGCCCATTCACGTATCTGCCCCATGTTAAAAAGTTGAACCTATGCGATGCAACTCAAGATAGCCAGCAGAAGGTGCTGTAGGCGATTAAACTGGACTTTTAGAGGCGTAAAGATGACTAGTTTTCCAACCGCTAATTTCACAAGAAGGTAGTGGTGCGCGATACTGCAAAATTTGGTATTGATCGATACCAAATAAATACAGGTCCAGTATCACCGATAGTGATACCGATACGATATCCATCCATTTTCTTCCGCTTATCCGGGGTTGGGTCGCGGGTGTAGCAGCCTAAGTAGGGAGGCCCAGACTTCCCTCTCCCCAGCCACTTGGGCCAGCTCTTCCAGAGGAATCCCGAGGCGTTCCCAGGCCAGCCGAGAAACATAGTCCCTCCAGCGTGTCCTGGGTCTTCCTCTGGGCCTCCTTCCGGTGGGACGTGTCCGGAACACCTCACCAGGGAGGAGTCCAAGAGGCATCCTAACCAGATACCCGAGCCACCTCAACTGGCTCCTCTCGACGTGGAGAAGCAGCGACTCTACTCTGAGTCTCTCCCGGATGATCGAGCTTCTCACCCTGTCTCTAAGGGAGAGCCCAGACACCCTGCGGAGAAAACCGATACGATACTTTTAAATAATTACGGTGAATTTTGATGACGTTTAAGTGTTTTGTGATTTTTTTTTCCTTCAGGATAGAATTAGGCAGAGTTTATAAGTAAATAAGGAATATTTTATTATAATAAAAGTTTTTTTTTTTAATATAGAACAATAACAAAACAATTTTCCCCATACCTTGTTATGGCTGGATTTTTTTCCTTAAACAAAGTGCACAAAATGATCACTCAAGAATAAATTAAACATTGTGTTCAGAAACTATGATAATTAAATAAAAAATATCCCTTCATTGCACTCCTTTTCTGGATGTTTTTTCTTGAATAAACAAACAGTACAAAGTTATCACACCGCAAGAAATGTTATAAAGCAGTAAAATATATTTAGGACATAAAGGAATAAAACAAAATGTCTCCTCTTAAGTGAATTTATTTTCTAGGTTTTCAAAAATAATTACAAATCAAAAATAATTAGTGAAAATACAATAAATAAAATGTAAATAATAAAACAACCTCCAAAGCCCTGAGTTCACAAAAAATATTCCCAGAATCCTCTCTGTTGCCCTGCCTGCCTTTGCAAAGTTGCTCTGTGCTGTGACAGGAGCGGCACTTACACAGACAGTTGGCTGACATCTTTGATGAAACCGCAGCAGTGCATACAGGAGAGAAACTGAAGCTAAAGTGTCGATCTCAATACGCTGATATTGATCAATATCAATACCCATGTTGGTATCAATATTATCAATATTTGGATTGATCCGCCCACCACTACAAGAAGGAGAAGAAGGTGAAGAAGACACTTTGATATGGTAAAATGATAAGGTAATATGCACAAATCTAACCAGGAAATGCAAGACAGAATGGAAGGACAGACTATAAAGAAGATTTCAATCATCTGGGAAATGTAAACTGCAGCTGTATTAGATCGAAAAAGGCCAGTACAGCCAGAGGGATTCCTTACTCAAGAGTAGGAAAAGATGAGCTTTCAATGCATTTTTATTACAGAGAGGCAGAAAATCTGATTATTGAGTTCAATAAATTTTTTTTAAAGATGGATTTCCCACTGAGTTTTTTTATTATTATTATTTGCATGTCAGGTTTGTTCAACAAAAGAGTGAAAATGTTCAAAATGTTCAGTTTTTTTTTTTTTTTTTTTTTACATTTTCACGTTTCTTCAGGAGAAGTTCATATACAGTTACCTTCAAGTTTCTGGTGTCAGTGTGTTTCAAACACAATGATTATTGCAGTGCTAGTTTCTAAGATTTATGCAAAAATTGTTTATGCAAACTTGAGCACAATTTATCCTGATGCATGCTCAATAATCCAGATAGAAAAATCCAAGAAAGTGAAATCTGGTCCTCTGGACAGAACACCATGGATTTTGTGGAAAAGGTGAGGGATGTCATCATGGAGACTGATGAAACAATGGTCTCTTTTGATGTCACATCACTCTTTACCTGCATTCCTGTTGATGATGCAGTAGAGGTGGTCAGTTTAAAATTAAAATCAGACACCACTCTGAGCAGCAGGACCACACTTTCCACAGAACAACTGTGTCAACTCTTGAAACTGTGCCTGCAGTCAACCTACTTCACATATGGGGAGCAATATTATAGGCAGAAACATGGGTGTGCTATGGGGTCTCCAGTTTCTCCTATTGTTGCCAACCTGTACATGGAGGAGGTAGAAAAGAGAGCCTTGACGTCCTTTTCAGGGACACCACCAAGTCATTGGTTCAGGTATGTTGACGACACCTGGGTTAAAATCAAATCTCAGGAAGTCCAACATTTTACTGACCACATCAACTCTGTGGATAAATACATCAAGTTCACACGAGAAGATGTAAAAAATGGCAGGTTGGCTTTCTTGGACTGTGAGGTCTCAGTCTCTGATAGAGGACATTTGCAAACTGAGATGTACCGCAAACCCACCCACACAGACCAGTATTTGCAGTTTGACTCTCATCACCCTTTGGAGCACAAGTTAGGAGTCATCAGGACTCTGTACCACAGAGCAGACAGCATCCCCACTAGCTCAGGAGCCAGGCAGAAGGAGAAATCCCACACAAGACAGGCTCTAGTGGATATCCTAACTGGGCCTTCCTGAAAGCAGAGAAGAAACCCAAACAGGACTCCAGTCAGCCATCAGGTGAAAAGGTGGAACCCAGACCCAGACCAGTGGTCATTCCATATGTTGAGGGGGTATCAGAGAAACTGAGACGTTTATTTTCTAAACATAACGTACCAGTGGCTTTTAAACCCCAAAATACATTACGGCAAAGACTGGTTCATCCCAAAGATCCAGTCCCCTGGCACAAACAGAGTAATGTTGTGTATGTTGTTCAGTGTCAGGAGGGCTGTGATCAGTCCTACATCGGGGAAACAAAACAGCCACTGGCCAAAAGGATGGCCCAGCACAGAAGATCAACATCATCAGGCCAGGACTCTGCAGTCTACACTCATCTCCAGGCCAGCGGTCACGCTTTCAGGGATGAAGATGTTCACATCCTGGACAGAGAGGAACGATGGTTTGAGAGAGGAGTAAAGGAGGCCATCTTTGTGAAAAGAAATCGTCCATCATTAAACAGGGATGGAGGCCTCCGGGTTCAACTGTCCCCCTCTTACAATGCTGTGATTGCTAGTATCACTCAGCCCTCTGTGAACAGTAAACAGCCATCAGTGTGCTAATGATCCATTGTTAGGCTGATGGTCCTTCTTGAGCATGTGATCAGCTGGTTTTGGTTGTCAGCAGCAAACTGGTTGATCCACTCTGAGAAGGTGCTATTTAAGAGACTGAGCTGAATACAGCACCTCAGACTGAAGAAGTCTCTCGGATGAGAGACGAAACGTTTCTACTTTTTTTATTTTATTTTAATTTTTTTTATATATATATATGTCCAGAGGACCAGACTTATCTTTTTTGGGTTGAGCACAATTTCTCAGCATTTTCTGGTGACTGTCACTGTTTAAGTTATTTGTTTTGTATTAATAAACAACATACGGTTATTTCAGTTGCAAGGTTATGTCAATGTTTATTTATGTATTTATATAAAATGAAATGACTTTTTACTGGGCCCCCCAGCTGAATTCTTCTGGAGCCGGGTCTGTAGCTACTGTCTCCACTATAAGCAAAAACAGTATTGTCCACTATTACCTTTCATCTGTGAGACATTAAAAACGTATCTTCTACATTTTCACCTGTTTCACCAATCCTCTTAACAAAAGGTAAATGTCAGAAGACTTTAAATGCGCCACTGTAGGTTCATTAAAGTAATTCTGCCCGTGTGTATTTACAATAGCTCAATTTAATCTTTTTATTTCACCTAAAGAACCAAGGATGATTTGTTCTCACTAACTACATCTTCTGAGGTGCATAAAAGTGTGAATGTTTACTACAATTCTGCCATGACTGCACTTGGGAAAAAGGAGAAGGATTTCCAATTTGTTGGCCATTTAAAAACAAATCTGTCTCAATATGTCAGTGAAGGAAGCTCTCATTGTGCTGACGAAGGCCCAAGTATTGGCACGCAGGGACTGCCTGAGCTCAAAACATCCTCCCTGAGTGACAAATTGCAGCAGAAACAGCCTGAAATTGTTGGCAGTTTCTTTCTCTGCACAGCACAGCTAACTTTTTCCTCTCAGAGTTGCCTGTCCTAGAATTTTCCTTTTCGTGTTTTGTGCCTTTTGAACTTGCAAATAATTTGGAAACAAGGAACTTGTCACAGATTTTTTGTTTCTCCAATAGCATGAATTATCTATAGCACAGTTTTGTTGACTCAAACTTCCTACATGATTAAGTCATACTGTCGGGGATGGCTGATACAAGCTGTTTTCAATTTTCTCTCTTTGCTAGGTGGTTAATTTGCGTCGCTGGTTGCTAATTTGAAAGCTGCATTTGATGTTTGGATCCAATGAGCACAGCGCTGGCCTTTCCAGGGAGTTTCAAAGCTGTGCGCCGTTCTCAAAGAGTTTTGGAGAAAAAGCCTCTCTTCCCTCTTTGGCTGGCCCACATTCAAGTTTCTGCAGAGAATAATGACTAGGACTTGCTGAACATGTCATCGTACAGTTTTTTCCTGCATTTTCAGTTCTGATTGTCTTCTGAGGAAATACTTTGAAGTGGGGAAGAGGGTATAGCTTGAGTCTTGATTGGCAACTCTTTTTATCTAACCCATTTTATTTTTATATACACACCAATGTGACAGTGCTGGGAGTTTTGTGCACACTTCTGTATTAAGAATAAGCCGTTCTGTTCAATATTGAGCACAAAGCATTGGTGTGTTGCTTATTAGAGGAAAAGTTCCTCTGTTTTAACATTCAGGCTGTAAACTGGACAGCAGTACTGGAGGACGTCATATCTGAACATCTACTGCTGCTGTGGTTAAGGGGAATAAATTCTACAAGCCAGGATATAAAATTTGACGAAAATGCTGCAAAGAGCAGAGAAAATTGTTATGGTGGTAACTGAGAAAATGTCTTCATAAAACCACATTTTGTCAAAATTCTGATGCAATGAAGTGACATTTTGACTTTAATGCATGTAACTTTTACTCCAAAGTACAACTATGACTTCAAGTACTTTGAGCTCTTTAATTTTCACATCAGCACAGACACATGTAACCAAGGTTTTCTAAATGTGGCTGATCTGGTCATTTAAAGCCATTAGCAGAAACAGCACAGTTGAACACAGTGGACTAATAGATTTTAATGCAAGAAGATCAATACTTTAATGATGGCTACATACACAGAGGTATTACTTCTGTTAACTATTGTTTCTTTTGAGATATAAATACTGCTAATTCTGTAAAATGAAAGTAAAAGGCACCACAACCAGTTAGCACTATAATGTCTCAGTCACTTTTACAGATATTGAGTTAAAATTTAATGTGGAGCTGTTGATGACTGTAAATTGAAACTTTACCCTTCAGCTAATTTTGAAAAACAAACTAAGCCATGACTTAAAATTAAAATTAGTATAAAATTGCCGAACTAAATGTCTTTGCAAACAGATACAGAATAAAAAAATTGACATGATCAAGCATAAAATGAAGGTTTAAATATAGGCACAATGCAATAGATTTTTTTTACAAACAATATGACGTAAACAAGTCAAGGTGAGCTGGTAGACACTATTTATTTATTTTTATTTATTTTATTTTTTTACCCTTTTATAGTTAAGGCACAGTAACAATTATATAGGAAGTGATATGTTTTTATTCCCTCTTAACATCTTGAAAGTCTTTACTATTTTTGTTTGTTCTAATGTCCAGCATTAAAATGAATAACAAACAATCTCTGCTGCAGAAAAGAATTGTTACAAAAACAATATGTGGTTATGAATAAAAAAATTGTCATCACTTTTTATTTATATTTGGTTTAAATGTGAAAGTGTTTATCTACAAATTTAAAAGCAAAAATATTAATTTGTCTGATATAAATGTGTACTGTCCAATTTGCTGGTACCACTTTACAATAAGACTCCAATTATAGATGGCTAATGAATAGTTTGTAGAAATGTTATTAATTCCTCTATAAAAAAAATTCATAAACCATGAATAATTGTTTATTATGCATTAATTAAGGGTGACTGAGAAAGAGAACTGACCCGTTTGTTGCCAAATAGTGAGCCAGATCTGTTCACCTATATATTTCATCTAGAGTTGTTGTATTAAACATTTCAGACTAAGTTACTACCTTGTGCACAATAAGCATTTGTAAACCTAATTTTTAACATATAATATTAGTTGTAGATACTGCAGTTATAAAGTACAATATTATATGCTAAAGAATTAGATTTACAAAAGCTCATTATGTAACTTAGTGTGAAATGTGTAATATAACAGCTCTAAATTAAATATATAGGTGAACAGATTTTGTTCACTATTTGGCAACAAACTGGTCAGTTTTGTCTCTGTCACTCTTAATTAATGCATAATAAGCAGTTATTAATAATTTATGATGCGTTTATAGAGGAATTAAAAACATATCTATAAACCATTTATTATCCATAAGGGGAGACTTATTGTAAAGTGGTACCTGTATTATTAACACATACACATAATATTAATAAATGAAAGAATATATTATTTTAGTCATTATTTGGAAAGTACTATTAGCGGCTGTTACACACTTTGATTAAAAACTGGGTCATACTTTTTGATCTCGCACACACAAACAAGATATGGAACGCTTAACAATCTGTGTGTAGGAGTTTCAACGTTTAAAATTAAAGGCTAGCTTTTTAATTGTTTTTTTTTTTAATGTGCAAATATCTTTTGTCTGTTCACTTGAGCTGTTTTTTGACTGGGCATTGAGAAATCCAGCCGTGACTTATAGATCACCATGTTTATTCCATGTTTTCTATAAATTACTGACTGCTCTTTCTTTTGTCCTTTTTTATTTCAGAGAACAAAGACTATGATGCATATCTGTCTTACACCAAAGTGGACCCTGATCAATGGAGTCAGGAGACCAGGGAGGAGGAGCGCTTCGCCCTGGAGATCCTCCCTGATGTGCTGGAAAAACATTATGGTTATAAACTTTTCATCCCAGACCGAGACCTCATTCCAACAGGAAGTAAGCACTATGGCTGTGTGTGTGTGCTCACAAAGTCACTATAAAAAAAGCAAAGAGAGTTTGATTTTGCTGCATATATAATGTTATTAAAATGTTCAGTGCATTGCTTTACACTTTGTTGTAGTTTTAAGTGATGGTTTTGTGTTTGTCCTTAGTGTTGATTTTCACTGTCTTGTGTTGTGTTGTGCCGTAAAAACCTGAGATTATTACAACTTCCAGCACTCAATCGTAACTCAAATGTCAGCAGATGCTCAGATGGTTCAAGAGCTGGAGATTTAATCAACATCTCAAACTCATTTTGTCCCTGAAGCAGTTCACAAACCATTTTTATGATGGGATGTGGCAAATTATCATGATGGGAAAGGCCACTTTCATCTAATAATATATCACAGCGAGAAATCGTTACGTGCTAACACAATGAGCACTTTTGGATTACAAGGACACCTACACTGTTCAAAGATGTTAAAATAGCCTTAATTTGATATAAAACATAATGTTGCAACATCTAAACCTGATATTAGACATGAGATCTGTTTAGGTGCCATTAATTATAATAAATAAGCATAACATCATCAGCATATGATGGAATTCAATTGTTAAAGTTTATTTGTAGCCTTTATTTAGGCCCTGAAAATTTCTGACCAAATTTAGTGTTTTGTTCAAGCAGCTGGGCTTTTAACCACTTTGATAAAAAGTGCTATTACTTTTTTAAGTAGTGAATTAAACAAAGATATTATTAAAATGACGAAATTTTGAGAAATGCCTTTGACATATTAAATTATAACAGGCTCTTCATGAAGAAGTTGCCAACGGATACTTTAATTACTTTGTATTATTTGCACGATAAGAAAGAAAAGTTGATTGTTCAGCATGAATAATAACTTTAAATCACAGACTGGCTGAACCAACTGGCTACCCCCCCCCCCCCCCCTCGGTAATACCTGAGCAACCCCTATGATGTGAAAGAACCGACCAGGTCACCTTGCTGTAGCTCTAGTCTAGTTTTGATCATGTTCATTATAGCAGTTTTTATTTATGTAATTTTGTGGTGGTCAGAGGTTGTGGTCCCTGTTCATTGCATGAACGTGAACATCTAAACCCTTTTCATCAGCAGCAGCACAAAGCGTTGGTCACTCATGACCATGTTGTTGATAACCATGTTCTTTGTTGTTACATACTTTGACCACTTTAGACAGAAAATGTCTTACAAGAGCTGCAGTAAACATTTTATACCTCGGTCATCTAGCCATCACTCTGTGGCCCCTTTTGTCAGAGTTGCCTAAATCCTGGCTCATTTCATTTTATTTTATTTTATTTTTATTATTTTATTTTAACTTTATTTGGGGGGGGCATCAACTGAAGGGGTAAAATGCTCACTTGCTCACCTGTATATATTATAATTATATATTCTATAATTCTATCGAAATAATCAAGACTTTTTGTGTTTTGTGGTCATAATGTTATGGCTGATTGGTATACATAATATCAAAGTTCATGCTCAATAATCCAAGTCGAAAATCCAACAAAGTTCAGTCAGTCAGGTCATCTGGATGGTTTCTTCTTTTGTTGTGGAGATGTTTCGCCCTTCACACAAAGGACTTCATCAGCCAGAGGAGTCACAACAAACTGAGTCCCACAAGCATCAAACCCACATAGTGGACCAACCAGTTTGCTGGTGATAAGATGGTTTCTGGGGCCTGCCCTCTCCCCCGTCGAATCCTCTGAAGCAGCCAGAGCCATCTTATCACCAGCAAACTAATTGGTCCACTATGTGGGTGTGCTGCTTGTGGGACTCACTTTTTTGTGACTCCTGGGACTGATGAAGTCCTTTGGATGAAGGGCGAACCATCTCAACAAAAAATAAAAGAAACTGTCCAGATGACCTGATTGAACTTGGCTGGATCCATACATAATGTTTCACATTTTCAAAATAAGAAGAAACGAAGAAATGCAATATTCAGAAGGTGGTAACAAGGATCCCTTCCATGTTCCCTCTGAAACCTCCTCAGATAGTAGATCGTGTCTTCTTGTCGGCTGTTCCCTAACCGAATGCTACAGATGAGGGAATACAGTATGCACTGTGTACTGGGAGCTGATATATTGAACAAATTTATCTTCCTTTCAGTTTTTATCCATGCATTAATAAAAATGTGAAAATTCTGTGTGAACGTGTTCTCATGCGAGCAAGCTCGTGCCTGCATAGCACTTGGTCTGCACTAGCAGTACACAGTGTGCTCTACTTTGGAGCGATGCTGCATGTTTGTACTGAAGGCTTCATGCAGAACAGATAAAACGCAAACACGTCCTACTTGGTCCAGACAGAATTAAACATCAGTGGGAAGCATGCGAACGGCTCTGAGCCCCGCTGACTGAGCCGCCTCTATCCTTTAATCAAAAGAAAATTGCCGCAAGCATCAGTGCCAAGCAGAATCATTGCAAATGAATGTCCAATCAGGGGAAACATGCTATGTGATTAATTATATGTGAAATAAAAAGATGAGTGAGCGGATGTGCTGCCACTTTTACAGCGGTGTTATGTGTCTGTCTGTGATGTGTACTTGCCTGTGACCTGAATGTGAACATGTTTATGTTTAGGTCTCACCAATGAGCATTACCAGGATGACACACGACTCTTTGGAGGTACTCGCCCTCAGTCTTTTCCTCTTGCATTCAGCTGCTTTCATCTACCTGCTCCTAGCAGTGCTCCTTAAATCATTAGTTAAAACCATGTTGATCCGCTCATCTCAAACATAAAACAACAATTTACACCAGAAACATACAAATACATATTCTGATGTATTTTGGAGCAACTGTGTGTAGACTGCCCAACAACACCGCCTGCCTTTCACCTTTCAGCAGCGGGCGGTAAAGACATTTTTAGATGTTGTATATATAAATGTTATGTCCTCTTGACTTTCTAGACCAGTCAGCTGTCATTGTCCTGTCTTTTGTCAGACTTTATGTTCATCCGTCATTATGTGTTGTGGTTGGAACGCACCAAATAGTATCAAACCTTTACTAAATGTGCATTTATCTCATAAAATGTTTGTCTTTACTTCCTGTTTCCTGCAGCCTACATAGAAGATGTGGCACGTTGCGTAGACCAGAGCAAACGCCTCATTATAGTCATGACGCCCAACTATGTAGTGAGGCGAGGCTGGAGCATCTTCGAGCTGGAGACAAGGCTGCGCAACATGCTGGTGACTGGTGAGATCAAAGTCATCCTCATCGAGTGTGCTGAGCTGCGTGGCATCATGAACTACCAGGAGGTCGAGGCCCTCAAACACACCATCAAAACCCTCACCGTCATCAAGTGGCGAGGCCCCAAAAGCAACAAGCTCAACTCAAAGTTCTGGAAGCAGCTGCAGTACGAGATGCCCTTCAGACGCACAGAGCCCATGCTTACACACGAGCCAGCGCTGGATGTTAGCGAGCAGGGTCCGTTTGGAGAGCTGCAGACCGTCTCTGCCATCTCCATGGCAGCAGCCACCTCCACCGCCATGGCCACAGCCCATCCGGAGCTGCGCTCAACCTTCCACAACACGTACCACACCACCTTGAGGCAGAAACACTACTACCGAAGCTATGAGTACGACATACCCCCGGGAGGCACCCTGCCACCTCTGTCATCTCTGGGGAACCAGCATACCTACTGCAACATCCCGCTAACACTGCTGAACGGGCAGAGGCCACCCAGAAAAAGCCGAGAACACAGCCTTGAGGAGCCTCACGCTAACAACGCCATGCTCCCTTTGCTGCCAAGAGAAACGAGCATCTCCAGCGTCATCTGGTAGTGATAAGCAGACTCCAAGTTGATGTTAGAGAGATCCACCAGAGTCCGACATGACTGGATTCTGTCAGCTAGAAGAATAAGTGGAGGCCAAAATTGTTTTGGATCAATTTGGCATCATGGCAGCAAGACAAAGGATGTGCAGGATGTTCGTTGATGCGATTTCTCTCGTCTTTCTAGTGGACTTTTTTTCTAGAAGATGTTTTTTTACATAAAATTTAAGGGAACTCAAATGGGAACACTATTTTTTTTTTCTTCAAATAATGAGAAACAAACTCACAAGGACTCCACACCAAGGCGCAAACACACTATGGCAATGCACACATGTACACACTATACATACAAACAAAAGGAAAACAGGGTTTGTACATATATTTGCATTTTATTAGTAGCATCTGTGTTTTCCTGTTTTGTTCTTTTGTCTTATTCTATCATGATCATTGCCTTCTATACTGTAGGACTTTGCTTTAACCTGTTATACAAGTTGTATATTTTTTATCATTTGTTTCTCCTTTCAGGGTTTTTTTTTTTTTTATCCTTACTTTGAAATGCTCAATTTGAAAAAGCGGTATGTCACGTACTTGCTCTGTTGTCTTCTTTTATGTTTGTTTTTTAAATCATTGTGTAGTTTAGAAGTTTTTTTAAACCTTTCTGAAAGACATGGACATTTCAGGAGACCTGAAGAGCTGAAACCTGTTTTTTTTTTTTTTTTTGCCTGTGAAAGGTGTATCTATTTTAAAAAGAAACTCTCTTTGAAAAAAATCATAGAATATGCAAAAAGAGGAGGAGGAGCTGGCAGAAAAAAACACCGCTGAAGATGTTGGGGATCAGTGCCAGTCCCCTCCAATCAGACCGACTGACAGACCGGCAGATCTCTCTCTAAAGCTTCTTTTTTTTTTCTAATAAAACAGTTTTAGAGTGATAGTGAAATGCCTCACGTTGAAAAAAAAATCTGTAGATTATTTTAAAAAATATTCTATTTTTATAACAGAAAAGAATTTGCTTGAGAGATCATACTTAATTGCATTTCATCTTCCATCTAACGAGGACTTGTGTTTATAAGTGTTGCACTGGTTTTGTACACTTTGCGGCGTGGTGACTGGTTTGTGAAGAGGTGATGCTGGTTTATTTTCAATCCCACTGAAATACATCCTCTGCTGTTCCAGATTCAAGAAGTGGTTTGTCTTCTCTTAAAGTCTGAATCTTCTTCCCACGCTCATAATTCTGATTTCCTTCAGTTTCGAGGATAAGAAAAGAAAACATTTGTGTTTTTGAAAGACTTTTTAAATATATTTGAAGGTGTGGTTTTTAAGTATGCATAGCAAATAGATATGTATTCTATATATAATATAGATATTTATATAAATATATAAACACAGTTTTCACTCTGAAAGAAATGTCTATCTTTATAGAAACACAATCATTATCAGTTGCCCTTACTTTCTCACTGCACATTAAAAGCATTGATTTTCTTTGGACTGTTTCTTTTTGTGTCCAGTCTTAACTTATTTACTTACAACAGTTCAAAACATTTTAAATTTGATCACAAACTTAAAGCGCCGTTTGCTGAATGAAACTCATTTTTGTGTCTTTTGATAACGGTTTGCCATTTTTTCAGATTAGACTTTTTAAAGTAATTTTAAAGTGAGACTTGTGCCCCTGACAATCTCTAACTCAAGTATTATCAAAGTATTACCAAGAAAAGCAGAAAACTTTGCCTCAACAACTATTTTACTGATTTATCAATTTGTAACAACTGTTTTAATATAGCGTATATCAATTATGGCATGAAAATGTTGACTTGTGTTATGCTAACATGTAACTTTTCTTGAATTAATCATTTTAATAACTCTTCCTGAAGACAAATTATCTTGACTCCATGTTGGTTCGTTTTGTTATTCTCTCATACTTGTTTCTTTCAGTGTTAGTAAAAAGAAAAATCAGTCATAAAAACTACTTGAAAATATACAATTGCCCTTTAAAAAATAAAGACACTTAATTTAAACAGTACAATTTAAATGGGATTATTTTATATCACAATGTGGAATAAAGCTGGAGACCAATTCATATTTTAAGTTTCAACATAATATTTTCACCCTGTGAAAATACACAGGGGCAGCTGTGGTTGAGTGGTTAGAGCAGGCGTCCTCCAATGCAAGAGTTGTGGGTTCAATTCCACCAGCAGTCACATGCTGAAGTGTCCCTGGGCAAGACACTGAACCCCCCATTGCCTCCGATGTGTGTCCCATCAATGTATGAATGTGATAAAGCACTGATCAGTCTCTAGTGCTGTATGAATGGGTAAATGAGGACACAGATTGTAGTGTAAAGAGCTTTGAGTATCTGGATAAGATAGAAAAGTGCTATATAAGTACAGTCCATTTACCATTTACCCTGAAGCTAAAAGCTGCTTCAAACACTGAAATGATTGAGCTCTTATAGTAACAGAGCTTACAAATAAAAGTTATACTTTACAAAAAGCTTTTGTTCCCTTATTTAACAAAAAACACAGCAAATCAGCTTTAAATCATTGCCAATGTTGCATTAAACTGTTATTTCTGTAGAAATGTTTTGATTTTATTGCCAGAAGTGTATTTCTGTAGATAATCTTTGGACCTTTTTCCCACTTCTCCATCTCTTGGTGTTCCATGAGTCTCAACTCTAATGTTAGGAACAAATGCTTGAAGAGCACAATTAAAACTTTTTGTCCTCCATCCATCTAGTAGCCATTATCTTTACCTGCTTCTTCCTTTTTGGGTCGCGGGGATCACTGGTGCCCATGTCCAGCAATCACTGTGCGAGGGCCGGGGTACACCCTGAACCGGTCTCCAGTCCATCACAGGGACACATGGAGACAAACAACCATTCTCATTCACACCTTAGGGACAATTTAGAGTTACCAATCAGACTAACATGCATGTTTTTAGTCTGTGAGAAGGAACTGGAGTACCCGGAGGAAACCCACGCATGCACAGACAGAACAGGCAAACTCCACACAGGAAGGCCTCCGGACCGGGATTTGAACCATGAGAACCAAAAATATACAATTTGTATCATTAGAAATTAATCAGTAATCCAGCTCTCTGTCCTAGTGTCTGGACTGTTGAATTGTACAGTCGTCACTATTGTTATAACGGCTTACCAAGACACAAAAAAAGTGATGTTTTCTCACCATTACAATTTGTGTTTACCAAAATGCAAATAAAAAGTCCTTTATCAGAGTGCGTCATGAAAATCTGGATTGTGACAATCCAAAGGGCACATTAATAAGACAAGGTACAGGACAAGCAGTTCTCAGTAAGATACATTAAAGTCCAAACTAAATGAGATGGAGAAAATATGGGACACAAACTCAAAGAGGCAAAAAAAATAGTAACAATACATTAACGCATAGCAACAAAAATAAAATTCAAAATACCAAAATGTCATTTGGATAAATGGTTCATCAAATTCACCATGATAAAATGCAATTGGATGGATGGATGGATGGATGGATGGATGGATGGATGGATGGATGG